TTATTATGATTGATAAATATCTTGTGACATTTCGAGCCAACAGTACTTGTAAACACAACCGTGATTTAGACATATTGTTTCTTGCTTAGATTCAGTACAAGCCAATAGTGTTTATAAACAAAACTTTGATATAGATACATTGTGTCTTGCAGGATTTATAATCATGAGCTGGAGACATTACAAGCAAACAGTGTTTATAAACAGAGCCCCAACCAACATTAAGACACAATACTTCTTGCAACATTTATAAATATCAGCTTGGGGTGTTATGATTCAACTGTATTTATAAACAAACAATGGTTTAGACACATTGTTTCATGCTAGATTTATAAACATGAGCTGGAGATGTTTTAAGCAACATTGTTTATAAACAGTTTTACCGAACTTAAAACCATCTGCTGGAGACATTACGAAGCAACTGTGTTTATAAACAGAGCTTCACCCAACATTAAGGCAAAATGTTTCTATTGGGATTCATAAATGCGAACTTGAGACATTATGACACAAAAGCATTTATAAACAGAACTGTTATTTAGAAACATTGATTCCTGCAGGATTTATAAACACTGGCTAAAGATATTAAGAGCGTACAGTGTTTATAAATGGAGCCTGTGACCAAGATTATGGTAAAATGTTACTTGCAGGACTTTTAAACGCAAGCTCTTGACATCATGACTTTTTCTAATCAGTGTTTATAAGTTTGGGCTGCTAGCTATGATCACTGCTACCCATAGTCAGGGTTGAATCAGAAACAGGCCCACGGCATCACAGATGTTCTACCATTCTTAGAAGTGGGCTTCTAGCACTCTCCAAAGTGCAAGTCCTGTAAAAAAATATATAAATATCCCTTACAGATTTTTTTTTTATCTTAAGCAGTTAATGAATGCTTAGAATTAACAGCTTAATTTTAAAGTCAGATCCTGATTTTTCAAGTAAAAGACAGTGATTTCAAATTTGTGAATAGTTTTGATTTAAAACACCTGACCAGTTCATTAATAAAAAGCTCTATCTGAGTTTTGCTGATTTATTTTTATCATTTTTTTATTATTGTTATTATTATTGTTATTATTATGCATTTAAGAGCATGATCAAAGTTTACTGGCAGCAGGGCTAAAATATTAATTCCTGCTACAATAGTTTCTTTTGCAATTATTGGGTTTTCTGCTCATAATAACTTTTCAGTCTGGTTTTCAAAGAAAAAATAAATACATTACCAGTTTTCATATGGTTGCAAAACCTTAGATTATTGAATGATGTAGCCGTATTACTTCTCCTTTCAAAAGAAAAAAAAAAACAAGAACAAAAATATCCTGTACAAGCTTGGCCAACTGCCAGCTGGTTCATTCGGCTCCACTATTTCTGACATTTCACACTCACTTTTCCCATGACTCACAGGGGCTGAGGCGGTCAGCTATAAGTAGCTTCATTCAGACAGATGAACGGCTTGGCTCTTCCTGTGTGCATAATAGCGCGGGAATTGTCCTCCGTTTGGGTTGATGTCATGCGGGATATTTTTGTCCGACAAAAAGCAGTCATTAAGTTTAAACTCCAGTCTTAGCACTTAACCTCAGCTGGGGTTAAAGGGTCAGTAACATGAGAGGAAACTGTCTTCAGGGAACCTCTTGAGCTTTATACTCTTTGGCTGAACATACAGGTGTTCTTTAAAGATCTGATAGTCAGGGGAGAAAGGTTGATTTTTTCTTTAGAGGAACATTTATATGTTCGCCTGGACAGATGTTTTGGATCACAAGCTGAAAGACCAAAGGAACAGCTAATTTTCAACAAATTAACTTGCTTTTTTAAAAAGTCCATGATACAAAGGGAACAGAAACAGCCCCATAGATTCATCGCCATTGCCTAACATCGGGCAGGAGGCTTTCTTTCATATGTTCTATTGAAAGTCCAGCCTGGTTTGTTTCAGCTCTAGCTGTTTTAAACTATTCTATTATTGCTTTGACTGTAAATTTGCCCAGCTTTAGAGAGAGGGGCATCTTTTTTGGAGCCTGACTGATAGAGAATAGCGGGTTCATAAACTATATGTTCTCAAGCGACTTAGAGGAATGGGCCTCTGTCCAGTCATACATACACCTGAGGGAGACGGAGGTTTTTAAGTTATATATTGACATTTAAGAGTTCTTTTATGGAGTTAATTTGTTCCACTATGGTTGCAAGTTCAGAACATATTTAAAAAAAAAAAATTAAAATTTTTAAATACTTTATTACATACAAAAAATGTACCAAGGGTAACTTTGCTGTTTTCTGCGCGTTAAGTTTTTCAAATGATGGAAATTTTTTAGAGACTTTGCATTTTCAATTTTTATTAGATTACATTTTTGAATGAATTTATTCATGAATCAGATTCTTTTCAAATTGTGGATTACAGATCACATTCTTTTTATTATAACCTAAATTCAATAAACGCTTTTGACCAATAAAAACGTTGTTTCTAATGTCCATGCGGACCTATAGAAATGTGTCTTTTCTTCTCCCTCCAGAGAAAGCCCGCCCCCCCCCGAAGAGAAGAGAATGTGATTCATAAAATACAATTTGAAAAGAAAACTAATGATAAAAATTAACTGAAAAATAGAAATAATTAAAAAAAGTATGTTTCAAATAAGTAAAAAATAAAATAGAAAAGGTTAGATGTGAAGAAAATGAAAAACATAAAATATAAATGGTAAAAAAAAAATACGAGAAAGTAGCAAAGTTATTGCCCGGATATTTTGTTTTTTTTTTTCATAATAAAAGTTTAGCCAGTTTTAATTTGTGAATTCAATTTTTTTTTTCAAATTCCTGTTCTTTTCTTGCAACAAAAATGGAACTCCATATTCCTTGGGCTTAGATAGATAATGCAAACAAAAAATAATCAATTTCAAAGAAATAGTTATTGGATCCTAAACTAAACCTAAAAGGACAAGTTAGAATCGCTTATTAACCTCATAAAGTGTGTTCCTCTGATTATTGTCTTTTTGGTTTTATTAGACATCTGTAGTGTGTAAAAAAAATTCATACCTTATTTCAAAATGTGAGTTTAACATATGTTGCATTTCAGCAACATTCTAATGTGTGCTCACTTTTCACCATAACAGTAACGTCCAGATTACAGACATTTTCTTCTTCAGTGATTAAACATGGTCTACCTGAGAGAAATGTCAGCTCTGTCAAACTTCTGCAAGCTGTCACCAGCAGTATCGACTGGTTTAAATGGCTTGGCTTCCATTTCTGTCACCACATTTAGGATGGGGCCCCGAGGCGGTCCCTCGTCCCGCAGGATCCTCTGACCTATTTCTGGATACATAACATGGTCAGAGTGGGTCTACTCGCTGCTGCTGACCTCTCTGACTCTGCATCATGATATCACCATGGGAACGGTGACATCACCACATCAATATCTAAAACATTTATTTTTGGGGCTTGATGATACAGAATTAATTTATAGAAGGAAAATATAGATTACTGTCAAGCTGAGTTAAGATCATCATATCTTATCAGTTCAT